TCCTGCAGTCCCACTTTTTTTGTTCCTCGTTCCTCCACCCCTTCTGAGCCTGTTATGTCCGGTGTAGTTGGTTCTGATTGTTCTTCGTTCTGTTCTGGGATATCAGTCATTCCCACTTCCGGGGGGTGGGGGGTGGGGGGTGGATCCCGGGATGGTTTCTACCTCCATTGGTGCAGCACCAAAGGCATCCTCGAATAGGTCTGAAGGAGGCTTTTGTGTGTCGCCCCGTGAGTGACCTCCATTCAGTGCCACTATTGCCCCTTTTTGTAGTGCCTCCTTCCCTGTTTCGATTACATGTTGGCCCGCCTGTCTGTTTTTTGGCGGATACTCCAGGCCTCCGCTCAATGCCGCTTTTTCCCCCTGCTGTTGTGCCACTTTCCCTTTTTCAACCAATTGTTTGTCTGCCTGTTTCTCTTTTGGCAGGTATTCGAGTGCTGCCGGTCCCCACTTCCGACCCCTTTGTCCTCCTTGGGGTGGCTTGGTCGACTGCTGGGGTTGCTTATCCTTCCCCTGAGGGGGTGTCTTTGCCACCGGGGTTTTAACAGGCAGCAGAGCCTGCGGGGCCATTTCCGGTGCTGGGGGCGGCATCGGTAGGGGCGGCTTCCATTCGCTGGGGGGGCGGGTTGCTCTGTTGGGGTCCCCCTGGCCTTCCCAGGTCCAGCCTTTCGGTCGGTTCTCCGAGTCCAGATCATCGAGGTACACCCACCCTTCATGCCCCCGGTCGACCGTGGTCCATCTATTGGGTCTTCGCGGGTCTTGTTGAAGCCGTCCCGCTTTTGGGCCTCGCTTGTTGGGGTGTTGGGGGCAGGCCGATTCTGTGCACAGATGACCGTACGCCCTGCACTTAAAGCACCACGGTCTGAATTTGTGCGCAGTGTGGATTTGGTAGACCTTCCCTCCCATTCTGTAGGGGATGATGTCATCCATGGAGAAGGGCTGGTCCTTGGGGAGGTCAAGGGTCAGCATCATGTAGTCATCGCATTGCGCCACATAGGAGGGGAGTGGGTCTATGAAGTTTACGATGTTGTACTGTTGGCCTAGATCATGGACAAATGCGGCCTGAACCTCCACCGGGATATGTCTCATTTCCACCCAGAAGTAATCTTTCATAAGTTGCTCCCTCTTCTCCTCTAGGGACAGTTTTTTTGGTTGCCATGGATAAATCCGCACCTCCGATCTTTCCCATTTTATCCTCCGCCATCCGTCCATCCTCTGTTTGTCCTGGGGGAAGAGACTGAGTACTGTAAAAACTGTTGATGACAGGGGGTGGATGAGAAAGAATTCCCGCACCTCTTCTGGACTTCCTTTCATCTCCTCTAGGCGTCTGCAGATCCAACGGATTTTGTCATTGACTGATTTTTGGGCGACTTCGCCATGGAACAGCCAGGTGCTTGCGTGTTTAATCTAGGCTTCGTCCCTAGCTTCCAATTTGTCCGCTGGGTACGTCTTCATCACCGTCTTTCTCCCCCCCTGATCTACCACTTGGTTTTCTGAGGGGAGAAGGAACAGGGTGAGGAAGTACGCTCTAGCGGATGAAAGATTCCAAAGCGGCACCTTTAGTACTTCCTCCTCACCTTGCTGCGTGGTATATCCATCCCTTTTAATGGAGAGCGACTTCTCCTGAATTGTACATCTAACCCGTTGTGTCCATGAGGGTCGCGGATCCTTCCCTGTTCCCCCTTGTTTCTGCCCTGTTCCCCCTGGTTTCAGGGCAATGGCCTCTTTTTGTTTCCCTTCTGCTGTGTTCTGTTCTGTAAGCTTCTCTTCTTCTGTCAACATTTCTTCGTCACTCTCTTCATCACTCTCACAGTCCACCTCGTCTTCCGTTTCCTCTTCTCCCGCACTTTCTTCCTTCGTGGTTCGCATCACGATGTCACGGTCCTGGGCGGTTCTCTGCTGTACCGTGGTATTTTCCTCCCGGGTGGCGGTCTTCATTTTGTCTGAGCCAATGATCATGACCTCCTCAAGGGATGGCCATTGCTGTTGCGTTCCCAAGGGGAGGGGGGAGGTTGTCTCCCGTCGCTCCCGTTGTGGCTTCTTCCCTGGTCTGCCATAGGGGCAGAAAGCTAGTTGTCTGCCTATGTTGTGTCTCATGGCCCCCTGATAGAAGACCAGTGACCCGGGCCCTCTGGCCCGTCTGTGGCCCAATTCCATGGAGGGGGTTGTACTGGGAGTGGTGTGCCTGATAGTGGTGACAATGTCAAAACAGAGGATATGGTTGGTGAGGCCTATAATTCGATTCTCTTTCAGTCAAAGTTGTGGTGTGTTCTGTGTTCGTGCTTGTTTATTCTTCCGTTCGTTTTTGTACTGTGTTCGTACCTGTTTATGCGACCGTTCGTATTTGGTTCTAATTTTCGAGTGTATTCATTTGCTGTCGAGTTTCACTTATGCTTGTCCTTATCCCCTTTCCTTTTGGGGCTTTTGCTGGCTCGGGGGTATCATCGGGGG